TTGACCCCCATTCGTTTTTGTTCTTTTTTCACTGTGTAGAGCCTACGCTGCACAAAGTTAAATTTTACATTCACATTTACATACATTCTACAGTCCACTTATCTCCAAAACCAAAAAATCACAATTACAAACAATACACATACCCGCCGGCAAGAAATATCAACTATTTTTCACCTCTCCTGGTAAAAAATTACATGCAACCATACATTTACATTTTTCCCGTCGGCGCTGAAAATAAAATACAAAATTGTCCAGTCGCATTTATACTTACATATTACTCTCTGATCTACTTACATTTTATTCTCTGAGCGAAAATACATATTTACAGAGGCTTCATACTTACATATTTTTTCTCTGAGCGAGTATACATACTTACAGAGGCTTCATACTTACATATTTTTCTCTGAGCGAGTGTACATATTTACAGAGGCTTCATACTTACATATTATTCTCTGAGCGAAAATACATATTTACAGTGCAGCCTCTTACATATGGTTATTTGACCAAAATATATATATGAACATTTGGTTTCAGCTATTCATGGGCGGAGGTGCAGGAAGGAACAGGGGGCCTATGCACAAAATCAATATTGGTTTTTTCTCGTCTGGTTAATTGAAAACTTTCAATTCCAACATTCCGGGAAAGCCCGAGTCCATAAAATCTCCGAAATACTATTTTTTTCTTGGGCGGAGGTGCAGAAAGAAACATGGGGCTTATGCACAAAATTAATATTTGTTTTTTTTTTTTTTGTTTATTTCTCGCCTGGTTAATTGAACAATTCCAATTCCAACATTCCGGAAAAGCCCGAGTCCATAAAAACTCCGAAATAATATTTTTCATGGGCGTAGGTGCAAAAAGAAACAGGGGGCTTATGCACAAAATCAATATTTGATTTTCTTGTCTGGTTAATTGAAAAATTCCAATTCCAACATTCCGAAAAAGCCCTAATCCATAAAAACTCCGCAATACTATTTTTTCAGATCGTTCCACACACCTAAAATTCCGCATTTTTTTCATCCAAACTGACGCAAACATAGTGTGGCGAGATCCACAGCTATTCGCGTGCGTTTTTTGGTCTTAGTATGCCCGGTGGAGACGATAAGAAAAAGGTATCTGCTCCCCCCTTGGGCAAAACAAAGTCCACGCTCTCGCCGCTGGCAGCCAAAAGCTCCAAGAGCCAACCAAGCTCTTCGTGGTGAAGCCGGCTACGCCAAAAACTCCAAGTTCATTAAATCCAAACGCCAAACCCGCTACTTCCAGTTCAAGGGTGACTCGATCCATACAAAAAATGGCTTCAACTGCTTACGAGTTAGCGTTAAATAAGTTCATTGCGGTCTCAGATCGTCTAAGCGATCTCGAAAGCAGTACCAACACTCCTGGGAACGAAACTCCAAGCGTTTCCATGCTACAAATCCTTGGGGAGCAAGTCCGAGTGTTATGGGACAAGGTGGAGAAGGAGTTCGACGTATGCTCAGAGTGCATTACGGCAGCAGGCGAGGATGCAGCGTCCACATTGACCATTCTCAAGTCAAAGTATAACTACTGTTATACAGTGTATGAGAGATACGCCGCTCAGCTCACAAATATAATCCAACAGGGCACGGCTGCGCCAGCTCAAGCTCAAGCCCCTGCCCAGAACTAAATCTCCTCGGCTGCCTCCGTGCGACACAGAGGTTTTCTCAGGCGATTACCTACGCTGGCCCACTTACCGGGACCTTTTTACAGCGATATATATAAATAATCCAAGGCATACGCCTGTGGAAAAGCTGTTCCACTTAAACGCTAAAACGAGCGGTGACGCGCATGCCATAATCGCAAATTCCCCTCTCACCAACGATGTCTTTCGCTCAGCTTGGGATAACCTAACTGAGCGGTTCGACAACAAGCGATTGCTAGTAAATAGCCAGCTTAAAATCCTCTTCAACCTCCAGTCGATTTCGCAAGAATCTGGGGCAGCTCTAAAGGAACTACGATTCAAGGCTGTCTGAACGCCTTGGAACTGTCCGGAATCCTGATTACGGAATGGGATTGCATTCTTGTCTATATGTGTTCGTCAAAGCTCCCCAAGCTTACACTTTCCTTATGGGAGCAGTCCTTGCACGATAAAGCCGCAATTCCAAAATGGGTTGACCATTCTCACTGAGCGCCATCGAACCCTCGAGGCCATAGATGACGTGCGACCTTCTGGGTCAAGTCATTCGCAGTCCAAAGCAACGAACGCTAACGGGTCTTTAAGCGGAATAAATTCTTATGAGACTAAGATAGTTCCGAAACCGAGACGTTGCGATCTGTGCTCAAGGGAAAGCCACCCTATACGCACTTGTCCACGTTTCCTCCAAATGACAGTAGACGAGCGGGCCGCCTACATCCGAAACAAGCAATTGTGCTTGAACTGCTTTGCCCGAGGGCACCAGCTTCGGGACTGCACAAGCACCCACAGCTGCTTAACCTGCCGCAGTTGCCACCATACGCTGCTGCACCGAAGCAACCCTTTTGCCAGCCCTCCAAGTCGGCCTGATGTTCCCATGTCACGACCAGCAACTTCGACAGAAGGCTCAGCCGCTTCCGATGACCAGTCGGGAGTGCAAGTCTGTTTTGCGTCAGGTGCAAGATCGGTTCTGCTGGGGACAGCCATCATAAATATATGCCACCTGGGTTCGAATTTCCAGGCTCGTGCCCTTGTCGACTCAGGATCCGAAGCAACATTTGTGACAGAGCGTCTGTTCAATCTTTTCAAATTACCCTTCCAAGTCGTCCAAGCCCAAGTCTCAGGCTTAAATCAGACAGTGTCCGCTCAGTTCAAGAAGCTCTGTCATTTTACAATCAGATCTCCAAGTAGGCCCGCTCTGCAGTTAGAGACGTCAGCCTATGTCCTTCCTCAACTGGCAGGGAATCTGCCTTCCTACCCAATTCCGCAAGACTTTCTTTGAAATCTTCCCGATTTACCATTGGCGGATCCGAAGTTTTACGAGAGCGCACAGATAGATGTTCTGATAGGAGCCGACATTCTGCCTTCGGTTCTCCTAATTGGGGCAAAAACAAACATCTGTGGCTCCCTCCTTGGACAAGAAACAATTTTCGGGTGGGTGCTCACTGGGCCAGTATCCGCTTCCACCCAGAGTCAGACTGCCACCTTCCCTACGCAAATTTCCCAAGCGTACGACAATGGCTTAGATAATAAGGAGGATCTATCAATAAAGTTGGTAAAGAAATCCGATTCCGTCTGCGAAGAGAATTTTCTCCGAACGATCACGAGAGATGCGAACGGCAGATACGTCGTAACTCTACCTTTTCTGAGACGGCAGAGCTTTCTACAAAGCTATTCTGCCTAAAACCGAATCCGCATTCCAAGGTGGGTCTCCTTCCGACCAGAATTCAGAGTCGAGCATCACGGTTTTTGTGACGCGTCTCAAACGGCATACGGTGCTGCGATCTATGTACTAGTGGAAGTGGGGCAGACGACTATGGTGCACCTTGTCACTGCAAAGACGCGAGTTGCGCCGGTAAAAACTGAAATGGCAGCAAGTGTTCTTCCGAATATGCCATACTCACATCCGAACTCTTCTGCTGGACACACTCCACCATTGTGCTCGCATGGTTAAACAAGCCAGCTTGCCAGTGGACTACTTTTGTTGCCAATAGGGTGACCATGATAACCCAGTCTACAAAGGCCGAGAAGTGGTCGCATGTTCAATCCGAACACAATCCCGCAGACCTGGCCAGTAGAGGGGTAGCACTTCAGGAATTGGTCGACAATCCTATTTGATGGCATGGTCCCGCATGGTTGCAAAATCCACGCAGCCAATGGCCAAGTCAGGGCGACAATTCCCCAGCGACCGAGCTAGAGAAACGTCCCCTTAAGTCCCACGTCGCAACTATACCGTCTGAAGATTTCCTTGACCGTTTTTCCAAGTTCGACAAAGCACTGCGGGTTCTCGCTTATGTCAATCGTTTCATCCAGCGATGCAAAAAACAAGCAACACCCTCTGGTAAGCACCTGCTAGCTGCTGAAATTTCCGCCGCCGAACGACTACTTATTCTGAATACTCAGCGCAGAGACTTCTCCCATGATTATCACTGCTTAAATGAAAAGCGCTCTGTGCCTTCTTCAAGTTCTATCCTGAGCATGAACCCGTTCATAGATCAACATGGTCTGATAAGAGCGTGCGGTCGCGTGACGGCCTCCGACAGCCTTCAATATGATGAACGGCATCCAGTTATCCTTCCATATAGCTGCCCACTATCTCGCCTACTTGTCCAGTTCACTCATCGCATAACCCTCCATGGCGGCAACCAGTTGATGGTACGCCTTATTCGGTCAAGATACTGGATACCAAAACTAAAGAACTTAGTAAAGGCAATAGTAAACTCCTGCAAGGTATGCGTGATCCACAAGAAAAGGCTACAAACACAGTTGATGGGCACTTTGCCGAAAAACCGTGCGTCGTTCTCCCGACCATTTACGTACACAGGAATGGACTTCGCCGGCCCTTTCGAAATTAAAAATTATACCGGAAGAGCATGTCTCATAACAAAAGGAAGGATTGTTAGTGTTCGTTTGTTTTTCCACCAAGGCCATCCACTTAGAGCCTACCTCTGATCTCACGACCGAGAAGTTTCTCGCCGCTTTCGCTCGCTTCGTTTCCCGGAGAGGGTGTCCTCGACAAGTCCAGTCTGACAACGGAAAAACCTTCGTTGGCGCTGCCGCCTTGCTTTCTCGCGACTTCCTGCAGGCTGTAAAAGAGTCTGTGACAGATGCCTATGGTCATCAGCAGCTCACCTGGTAAACTCTTCGACGCTTCTGGCAAAAATTGAAGCTTGCCTAAGACATCCGCACGGCACGCGGGGTTGTCAAATGTCCAATAAACAAAGTCGTACTTCTGCCTGTGGAGCCTTCAAAACTTCCACAATAAATTGACCCACATTTTTTAGTCCTAAGTTGTTATCCACAATTCTTAATATGATTTCCCTTTATTCACCTTCATTCATCCACGATCTAGATCAGAAAAATGGCTCCCCGAACACGCACCGAAGAACCCCTGAACGGCAGACGTACTCGAGGTATTAAATCCTACCGATGCCGAGTCTGCAAGGGAGTCCATCCTCTACGGAAGTGTAGCAGGTTTCTGAAGCTGAACGCTGAGAAGCGGCTTCGTGCAGTCTAGGTAAAACAAGTATTGCTCGAACTGTCTTGCCCACGACCACTCGAAAGCTGACTGTCATAGTGGAAAATGCAAGAAGTGCCGACGGAACCACCACACGCTGCTGCATATGCATGAGCGGTCAAATTCTGGGCAGCGTTTGCGCCGGCAAAATCCGCCAAATCGCCCGACGCCTGCGTCAAGGCAGCGCTCAGCCTCCCCTACACCAGCTCCGTCGCTTTCATCGCTGCTACAACGTCACAGCGTCAACGTGCTTCCGACTGCTTCGGTGATGGTGAAGACCGGAAGCAAGACTTTCGAGACCGCAGCTTTAATCGACCCTTGCACACCAGTGAACTGCATCGACGCTTCTCGAGCCGCCGCATTTCGGTTGCCAACGACCAGTGTTGGTGACGACAAGGTGTGCAACGCGACGATACAGTCCAAATGCGGGACGACCAAGATGGAGGTGGTGTTCAAAGTCGAGCCCAAGAAGTGCCGACGGAACCACCACACGCTGCTGCATATGCATGAGCGGTCAAATTCTGGGCAGCGTTTGCGCCGGCAAAATCAGCCAAATCGCCCGACGCCTGCGTCCAGGCAGCGCTCAGCCTCCCCTATACCAGATCCGTCGCTTTCATCGCTGCTACAACGTCACAGCGTCAACGTCCTTCCGACTGCTTCGGTGATGGTGAAGACCGGAAGCAAGACTTTCGAGACCGCAGCTTTAATCGACCCTTGCACACCAGTGAGCTGCATCGACGCTTCTCGAGCCGCCGCATTTCGGTTGCCAACGACCAGTGTTGGTGACGACAAGGTGTGCAACGCGACGATACAATCCAAATGCGGGACGACCAAAATGGAGGTGGTGTTCAAAGTCGAGCCCAAGGTGGGCATTCGCACACCGACTCGGACACTCAACGACGCCGTCCGTACCAAATTTAAGGGCATACAGCTCGCGGATGAGCGGTTCTATCTTCCCGCCACAATTTCTGTCATTCTTGGGGCGGACGTGTACCCCAAGGTGATCCAGTGGGGGTTCCTGATGGTCGACAAAGGACTGCCGGTCGCCCAGAAAACGGTTTTTGGGTGGATCATTTCCGGCGCCAGCCACCAACCTTAGAAGCCATCTTCTTTTGCAACGCTAGTGATTGCATGGGGGGCGGAATGTTCAGGCCACGGTATTCCCGGCTTTCCGCTCTCCCCATCTGCTCTCCGCTCTCACGCAGCTTCCCTTTTCCCCACCACGAAATCTCCATAAAGTCTCCACGGCGCTCTGAAGAGCATTAGAATAAGTTAGAATAGTCAGTTCGATTTACATAGCGAATAAAAGTGGTTGCGCCCACACCCCTACCATCGAAACACCTACGACTCGTCATTTCAACTACAGGATCTGTGCACCTTTCAGGACCCTCCATAGGACTCGGCCACCCCTCTCCGTTCAGTCCTCATTTATGAATCGTACGCGGATTTATTTTATATAACTAGTTTAAGTTTTTATAAAGATATTATTACTCTGGAAACAGAATTTATAAACAGTCATAACGTTCAGAATTCACAATGGGAAATACACCACGATTTAAAAATTATTAAAGTACTTATTTCTCAAATAATACCCACTAGATCAAAAAGAGTCATTAATGAATTAGGCACAATTTGGAAATGGAAAGCAGGAACACCAGATCATGATATCATAACAATTCAAAATAAAATTGATGATTTAATAAAAAACAATAACGATCAATTCGTTATTAATTCCAAAATATTTAAAGAAATAAAAACTCTATCTGCCAACTTTAAAGCCGCCAAGAAATTCCACTCAAAAAACACCGCCTTCGTTTGCTGACCTACGACCTTATGAATTTAATGGACATTATTACATTAGCAAAAATAGATATTTTCAACACAAAAATTCTAAAAAATAATGATATACAGGAAATTTATAAACATGAACAAAAACCTGTTATTATTACTGATCTATTGAATATATCTAAATTCAAAATCACTTTGCACCAAGAATATATTATTATATATGTTGAATACCCTATAATTATCGATCGTTGTGAAGTTTACTCAAGATCCATTTCGCACAGTGATGGAAAATTATTAATCAATAATCATGTCGCAAAATGTAAAAATTAGTTTTATTTAATGTCTAATTTCAAGACGGATTTATTTAAAATATATTGCCCATTAAACCCAGAAGATTCTTGTTATACCAGATTACTAAATGGGGAAAAATCTTTATGTAATGAAAAAAAAAAAAATAGAAATGTAGATGTAATCCAAGAAGGAGCCATTTTTATAAACGGTGATAATACAGTAAATGACACTGATTTAGATGGGTCATATTTAATAACTTTAATGGCACCACTAAAATTAATTATAAATACTACACTAATGTAGACAATAAGATATACATCACTGCACGAAAATATACTGACTTCTTAATTTCCGAATATATTATATCAAATGATTCGGAACTCTCATTCGATAATATTAACGTATTAAAACCTTTTATTCAAATTAAACAAACTCAAATACCAATTACATTAACATTGATCATAATCACAATTTTATATTTAATTACCATGCTTTTAATTAAATACAGAAAATTCTTAATACTCAAACCACATTGCCGTCAGATTGAAATACAACCAGTAACTAATATACCCGACAATACTGCACAGGAAAATATTATTGTATATTTATAAACAATTTATAAACAACTTTGAGTCTAGAGCTTTTTTCCATTCTTAAAACAAAGTCTCCAATCAATTCCCACCCAGAGCAGTTTCACACTCTCCGCTTCAAACGGATTCTGTAAACATCCAAGCCGATATTGTAAACACCAGAGCCCCAAAAAGGGAGCCCCTAGTCCTCTAACGTAAACATCGATTTCCGGCAGAATTTCAATCTGCAAAATTTCAATTTCAAATTTAACTGACAAATTTCATCATCCTATTTTCCGACTGTCTTGGATGATTCTCTTAATCAGATTTTTGAGATAAATCTCTTAAGCCGTGGTTTGATTATAGATTATTGATCAACCAAAGTCAGTCAGTAAGTTTTTGAATTCGAATTGATCGGTCGCCAACTTAAATATCGCGAGCAGAGAAAATTAAGTGCGGTACTAATAACAATTGTGTAAACTAGTGAATAGGAAATAACAATAAAAAATATATTTTTTTAAAAAATTCACTAAGCGATAATTTAATTTGCACACTGTAGTCTCTCTCTCTTTTTTTCTGTGCATCGGCTTGGCCGAATAAAGGATAAGTTTAATAAATTCACTTTATTAACACACTAAATGGATGCGTTTAATTTAATAAAAACAAGAAAGAAAGCAAACTTCGGCAAGCCGAAGTTCATATACCCTTGCAGCTATTGCAAGAATTTAACATTTTTGAAAACATTAAAACTATGATTTACTGCGTATATGTTTAAAAACATTGAAGCTATGATGATTAGCAGCTCAATTATTTGATAGTTATTTTATATATTTTTATTATTTCTATGGGAGCTATATGATATAGACGACCGATTTTGATAAAATCTAAACCATAATTCTGAAATATTTAACCATTGCTATATGTCGAAGAACTGAACAAAAAATTAAAAAACAGCAAAGTTATAATTTTTTTCATTTATTTTTCCGATTGTTCCTATGGGAGCTATATGCTATAGTCGTCCGATTTTGATATAATTTAAACCTTAAATCGGAAATATTTAACCATTACTAAATGTCGAAGGACTAAACAAAAAATTAAAAAACAGAAAAGTTATAATTTTTTTCATTTATTTTTCCGATTGTTCCTATGGGAGCTATATGCTATAGTCGTCCGATTTTGATGAAATTTAAACCGTAAATCGGAAATATTTAACCATTACTAAATGTCGAAGAACTAAACAAAAAATTAAAAAACAGCAAAGTTATAATTTTTTTTCATTTATTTTTCCGATTGTTCCTATGGGAGCTATATGCTATAGTCGTCCGATCCGGCTCGTTCCGACTTATATACTACCTGCAATAGAAAGACAACTTTTTGGAAAGATTCATGCAGATAGCTTTAAAACTGAGAGACTAGTTTGCATATAAACGGACGGACAGACGGAAAGACTGACAGACGGACAGACGGACGGACAGACGGACATGGCTAGATCGACTCTACTAGTGATGCTGATCAAGAATATATATACTTTATAGGGTCGGAGATGTCTCCTTCACTGCGTTGCAAACTTCTGACTGAAATTATAATACCCTCTGCAAGGGTATAAAAACTCGGTTAATTCATAGCGAGCGTGACAGGACATGTGTTAAATGTGTGAGGAATGCAGAGAGCCAAAAAAAAATGAACTATAAAAAAAGAAACAAAAAAAATGGTGCTCTCAAGAATGAAGCGATAAAAGTAATAGCAGAAACCAGATGGAAAATCGTAAGTGAAAACAATTAAAACCAAGACCTAACAATTCAACCCTGTTCCAATCACATTCAAGTAAACGGAGAAGATAATCGGAAAATTACACGACCAATCAAAAAAAAATTCCGAGTCTTACAAAAGAATGCCCCACAGATATTAAACATAATAAAATCTTCAAAAGGCTTTACATAAGCAGAGCAAATTATAGTCAATATTATAATAAAAATGAAAATAATAATTCCACTTTTAATCAAAAAAAAGCAGACAATTTTTCTATTAATCATGACCACAAAAAATGTAAGTCGGGAAACTTTCGAAAGAGATCCCCAATTTTCAATGAACTTTAAAACAATTGTATGGAAACATATAATATTTTATATGTCATTCCCCATTAATACCCTGCTCAGAAAGCAATAGTTCTAAGCACCATACCAAATTGTAAAATCTTGTAAAGAAAATCCATCTGCAAAGTTCTTTATGGCAATTTAACTGGTAAATCTCACAAAAGGCACTTACAAACACTTACGAAGACGAGACTACCATCGATGGAATTATCATGAAATTGCAGACTAAAATTGCCGGTAAAACATCAGACATACTAAAAGCTAAATTGGCTAATGTATATCAAAAAGGTATAACAGCTACGCAATTTGCAAACGAACTATATGATTTTGTAACGAACTGATTTTCTTGGTTTATCCGCTCGCTACGAATGTCGTGCGGCTTGCTCAGAAGATGTAAGTGTTCGTCCCACCAAATTTATATAAACGTGACAGCCCTATTGATCAGTGAAAACGCACAGAAAGATTGGCAATATACAATGATCTTTTATTCGTCGACTTGACCTTCGGCCGGGGTTTTGTATTGACAATGTGGAAATATGCTACGCCGTCGGCTCCTTCCCGCGATGAACGTCTCGCTGGGTTGTGATTGCTGCGAAGTGGTGTCTCCCACGCCGGTTTCGCTCGCTATGCCTTCTACTGTCTTTGGCTCGGCAAGATTACAGGGCTTAGGGATGCGTCACCGTTCCCAGACTAGGGTGAACAGCACTGTGCTCTCAAGGCGTACGCCTTTCGCAGACGCAGCCTCCTGTCTCTTGATCTGTCACGGCCGGTCGCACCGGACGTCGGCTCAGTTTCTACCTTCGTCCTGGGTGTCCTCGTTGTACTTGCTCTGCCTCCGAATGTCTCGACTGGCTCCGCTTCTTGTTGGCGGAGGGCTCACGATTCGGAAAGCTACCGTTCTGGGAATCTAGCGGTGAACTGCTGTGCTCTTAACGCATACGCCTTTCGAGACACTAGCTGAACCCGTCCTTCCGGGCTAGTCTCACCAGGGCCTTGTACAATTCCTGCAGGACGATCAGGCGTACGCCGGTGTTCGTCAATGCAGTCCTTGTAGGCAGGCAGCTAGTTCAAGGCTCAGACCACGGTTTTTCGTCGAAGGACTCTATTTGTTCAACTCTGGCGGACACGCCGGGTGGTCACAGAAGTTGTGACAAAGCGCCTGGACTTAGCCGTGTGATGCCGTAAGGACCTCAGCTACCTGTATCTCAATTCGGAGACTTTAGCTCTAAGTCCCGAACGTCTCGACGTAGCGATCTTGTTTCCTTGATGACTCCGCACGGCTTTACTTGGTTCTTCACGTTGTTCCACTGGTTACTGGTTCACTTGACAACTGTTACTTGTTGACTTGGTAGAAATTAACTGATCCAGCTTCATGCACTCGGCCTGCTTATATAGGCCTCCGTTTACCGCTAGTTATCGGCGTCTCATTGCCTCCTGGTCCGTTCG